CAAGTCCTCACTTGTAGATATTTTCTCCTGGAAATTTATCTACAATTACTGCATTACAACACGTTCTTTTTCCATTGCCCAACCTGACCAGAGTTACATACACAGAATCATACAATTGAGCCTTTTATCCCGAGAGAAAACCAGATAATTTTTAAAGTATTGTGGGATCTCCCATCTGTACTTTCACTACCATCAATACAATTAACGTTTATGAAAGTACGCAGGATCCCTGGTCCAATAACGCTTTTAACATTTTTATTTATGCCTTTTAATCATCAATTTTTTTACACCTGTCAACACAGAAGGCTACTTCGAGCAAAACCCTCAGTAATAACATTAGCAGAAAATTTAAGCTACTGTCATGTGTCAAGATTGTCAACATTAATCATTATTATCACATTATCATTAGACCCTTACACATGACTATAGGTGTCTTCCTTTTGTGACATTGATAACAGTTTGTTTAATTTGGCATGACAATCCTTTACAGTGTGATTGCCTAAACACCTGATACATCTATCAAGTTCCTCCAATCTTTCAACCTTATCATTCCATGAATTGTATGCATTGCAATTCTTTGACTGGTTTCTATAACTGGGCTATCTAGGAGGGGTACTTCTTCTTCCTTACCTGTGGGAATCATTATTTCTGATTCCTGCTACTGATATGCACCTATGCAACTCTTTGTTAGGAAAGGATGGGTGGGTGGAGTTCCTTGGGGATAATTTTTCCCTTCTGTGAACTTGACCAGATACCTCACCGTTATTAAGGTCTGCATCTTTAAAAATGAGTTAGATGGCTGGCTGCACTGCACAATTAATTCTTGTAGACCTAGCTTATTATCCTCCAACCAAAATAACCTTTGTGATATTTGTTCGAGAGCCCATTCAAGTGTTTTACAGCTTATTAATCTGTACCATGGCACTCAATAACCAGTCATGATTCCTTTCAGGATTATTACTTATAGTTTTGAGAGTGCTCCTCCATTAAACTCTAAACTGCTGTAAACCTTGTAAGTGTGATCTGGAGATTTTATTAAAATTACACATGAATTTCACTAGATCCCAAGCCTACTTTGCTTCTATGTTACCATAAGTGACGTCAACAAGTCAACCTGCTTCACTTGTAAGATCATACTACATTGGAAAGCTTGTATGATAGTGAGCATCTCCTTCTAATCTGTCCTTTTGAGGTCAAATAAATTTAGTTACACAGCTATATCACCTCCTACCATGAACAGCTGCTTAAAAAATTGACCAAAACTTCTCCCATTCTCTCCATGATTAAATAACAGTTTAAAAACATAATTCTGGAGATTTGGTAAAGACATCTTATTTGTTGGAGCTGATTGATTAACTGCCGGTTTCACATTTAATTTATTCAAAAGCCTGACTTTTACAAGAAAAATATTTTCCCTCTAATTCAAAACTACTGATTAATCATAAGATCTACTTCAGGTCTCATCTACACAGTTTACTAACAAAATCTCCTTCATATTGCGTTGTAATATAATTTGTATGAATCATATCTATTCCCATAAGCTTCTAAATACAATTTAAATCGTCAGTATTCACAATTTCTTGATTCATTAAATTCCAACATTTCTATTGTATGCTTTTGTTACATGGTCCTTTCTAGCTTGCAGTGATGCTTTTTTTGCTCAATATTTCAATGTTTGTCTTCTCTACATACATTTCTTCATTTACAGCCATGATGCAATGTCTTAAATTCCACTTATTAATAACACTCATTATGACTTACAACTACTGATGCAACTTAACTTTGAATAAAATCCTAAATACACTAGAAGCTTTGTAATTACATTAAGAAAATTGTAATATAAATTTTAATACACATTAATAATGTTGCTACACTTGACATAGTAATTCCCTATGCAAGAAAATTATAATATAATTTTAAATACACATTAATAACGTTAGCTACACACTTGACTTAGCAGTTGCACATGTAAGAAAATTATATAAATTTTAAATGTACATTAAACCAGTTAGCTAATACTTGTGCTTAGTAATATACACATGTAAGGAAATTTTTATAAAATTTTAAATGTACATTAATACAAACTTTAGCCAGACATGCCTCATCAAATTTAATATAACAAATTAAAATAAATCCTTGCCAGAAAATGAATAGCGCAAAATTAAATGTTTATACAACATTAATATAATAAGCTACACTTACTTTTCAATTACACATACACGTACATAAATTCTTGGCCAGAATTGTCTTATCAATAATATTATACAAATTAAATATAAATCCTTGCCAGAATTGGCATAGAGAAAAAAATTAAATATATTATACACAATAAATCTTTAGCTCTACACTTGGCTTATCCAAATAAATATTGTAATACTTATAATCACTACACATTAAGTAATTTGTGAACTTAACATCCACCTCCTGCACGGCAGTTCGCATATAATTATTAACTAATTAACTAATTAAAAACTTCACTAATTACCTCTCGGTCAAGAAGAACCCACGGGCAAAATTAAATGTGGAAAATTGCATTTATCCTGAGTGTAACTAATTAGGTACAAAACAGTAACTGATAACAAAGATACATATTATTTATATCTAGTTACATATATCAAGTAGGAATTTGGGAAACCTAGGTCGCAAAAATATCCCCATTCAATAGCCAACAACCGTCCTTATCCCCAAGTTGCTCTCCGACCTATTAAATTATAAATAAAAGATACATCACCAGGAATACTGAGTAAATAAAATTTGGGACTGTATATTAAAATTAATAAACGAGTATATATAATACAACATACATACAAGAAGGAGAATATCTTAAAATCACTCGCCATTGACTGGAGATTAAGGTGTAGTCATACTCAGAAAACCGCATTCTTCTAACCTAAATTTATGAAATGACACGGCCAGAATTATAACACAAATCTTTATAGCTTATCTCGGTTCCTGGAGGCTGTCTTGTCCATCGTCTGATATCTCAAGTTATGCTCAGTAAAGTCACATCCAACAATTTCGCCTCCTATTTGAAGAGAAGGCAGCCCAATTTTTAACCTCTAGAGCACGAAAAATCTTCACATAATTAACTAATGTTTGTGCTAATTCAAACAACAATGGCGAGTGTTTTTCTGCGCAGGCGCAGGCTTCTTTCTCATTTCGATAACATAATATTTTTATTAATATACAATATAGGCCATGATTTACCTAAAATTACCGTATTTTCCGAGAAAATACAATATTTTCCATAGTGTAGTGGGTAGGTTTCCATTCTAGGGTTAGATGTAGAAGGGGTAGGCTTCATTCAAGGGTTAGGTGTAGGGGTAGGCTTCGACACATCAGGGATTTAGATTTAGTGGGTAGTCTTCATTCATAGGGTTAGGTGTAGTGGCGTTTGGCTTCATTCATAGGTTAAGATTAGTGGGTAGCTTCATTCATAGGGGTTATTAGGTGTAGTGGTAGGCTTCATTCATATGTTTAGTGTATTGGGTAGGGCTTATTCATAGGGTTAGGTGTAAGGGTAAGGCTTCATTCATAGCGTTAGGTGTAGTGGGTAGCTTTCATTCATGGATTTAGCATGCTCGTGGGTAGGCTTTCATTCATAAGGGTTCGTGTAGTGGGAAGGCTTAAATTAATGGGGTTTAAATCTGTAGTGGCAGCTTCATTCATATGATTATATGTAGTGGGCAGCTTCAGTTCGAGGGATTAGATGTAGTGGTAGCATGATTCATAGGGTTAGGTGTAGTGGTAGGCTCATTCAAGGGTTAGGTGTAGTGTGTAGGCTTCATTCATAGGTCTTTCGGTGGTAGTGGGTAGGCTTCAAACATAGGTTTAAGGTGTAGTAGGTTCAGGGGTCTCAGTCATAGGTTTGGTGTAGTGTTAGGTTCCCATTCATATGTTTAAGTGATAGTGGGTAGCTTCATTCAAGGTTAGGTGTAGTGGTAGGGCTTTTCAATTCAAGGGCTTAGATGTAGTGGTAGGTTTTCATTTCATAGGGTTTGGGTGTAGTGGAGGTAGCTTCATCAAAGGTTTAGTGTAGTGGTAGGCTTCATTCATAGGGATTAGGTGTAGTGGTAGGTTCATCATAGGGTTAGGTGTAGTGGGTAGCTTACCATTCATGGGATTAGATGTAGATAGGTATGCAACCATCATGGGATTCGCATGTCGTTGTTACGCAATCCACCTCGTGGAACGGGTAGAATGGGAAGTTCTACATCCTCGGGTTAGGTGACCGATGGTCGGGCAAATCATTCATGGAAACACCAGAGGCTACGATGACGATGGGTATACTCGTGTGAAAAAACCAACATAAGTAACGGATGAATGGCTAATGTAGCTACATCCATGGTTAAATGTATTACGTGGAAAGCACAGTCTACAAACAATATACGTTACTTGAATTGGAAGTGTTGTATTTTGAGGTCAAACAACACAAATCAGGTAATAAGAGATATTCTTGGGACTTTATGTTAATGTGGTTGCAAAGAAAAAATGACTTTGTAAGTCTACATCACATTTTCAAAGCCTCAATGTTAATAGGATATGTGACTCATAGTTTGTGTATGAAATCAAGTTTTCGGTACGTTTTAGTGACCGAACTGTTTTCCACAAACACAACAGAAAGCGGTCTTCGCATTTCTCGACAAGGCTTGAAACAGTAACTGAAAAGTCCGGAAAAAGAGGACAACCTATGCAGATTATTCTAGCACAGAATCTAGAGATCTTGCCTGCATGAATAGGGACTCAGCACGCTCATATGATCCCATGAACATGGGAAAGATAGAAAAGGGATAATCAGATTTTGATTGATAACATTTCATTTTTAGAGTCCGAGACATACAAATAAATGAAATATTTGGAAACGGATAGCCAGGCAGACAACGATAACGAAGTGTCCGATATCACACTTTCCGGAACCACACCTGATAGCCTATTTAATTTAGATTGAACGAGAACCAACTAATCGGCTAAGTGGAAGGTGATGTAATAAGAATACTTACCTGTGGAGTTGCATGTTGCTGATGTATGCATGTTGCTTGGTATCGGCATTGTCACCGTCATCAAGTAGCTGCAAGATGGCTGAAGTATAGGCAACAAAAATATTCTGCCATGCACGTTCCTCTCAAAGAATTCTGTGAACATGAGTTGAGAGGAGAATGTATCTAACGACAAAATGTAAGCATATTCCAGTCTTTATCCTAAAGCTCTCTTCACTATCGGATATGTAACGCTTCCAGAATGTATGTAACTATTTGTACAAAAAAGCCTGCGTAATGGTAGACTGAATACAATTTAAAACATCTATATCAGTTTTCAGTCTTGTGGCTAATTACACTTTAAACCATTGTCTTCAAATAATTTTTCCCTTTACTATTTAAAAAAAAATAATCTGAAAACTGCTAAATTTTTAAATCGACAATTTGATAAAATGTTAACAGCTATCATATATTAAATCAGCAAATGAGGCGCGTAGGCCTAAACATGCATTTACTGTCCACAAAAAACTTAAATTTATTTTCTCGTTCTTAGAGTGAGTGGTAAATATATTTATTGTAGAAAGTCTGAAAAATGGCGTAACTTGAAACCTAGTTGAATTAGCGAAATGCTGTAAAGCGAAGCCCTGAATGTAACAGAAAACCTCCAACTTTCCTGAAATCTCCCCATATACATGTTTAGATTACTGGTATCTAACTGCAAAATATAGTGATTCTTCCCTTTTTTGACTTAAAATTTTAAAAGATTCATTTTAAAGGAATGATTTAATGCTAAAGATATTTTTGTCTTTACTGATCCCAGTTTATTTAGTAAGGAATAGCCCACAGGCTTTCCAGTCACGTGGAATGTTTTTTGCCATATGAGTTCTGCCATTGCTCATCGGCTGGTTTAAATCATCTTCAATCATCATGAATAATATCTCTCTAAACATAGATATTTCATTTTTTAATTCCTAAGCCCTTTATTTTCTCTAAAGTTTCAAAATTTAAATATTCATTTCCTTATAGCGGTAGAACCTACTTATCTTAAATCCTCTTGAATAACATTTAGTGCCCAGTTCTTATCTTTCTTTGCTTTGAGAAGAGTTGAGATTTATTTTCACTGGTTCTTTTTGATACCCTTTATTTTAGATAGTAAAAAAGATAAAGCAAGCGACAACTTTTTTCTTCCGGTTCTTCCATCACAATTTCAGCTACGTTTTCAGGTTGTAACATATATACATCGTGTGTTCTCGTTGCCGCCATCACTACCCAACATTATCTCCAGAACCGACAGCAGATCCACAAGACAGCATCAAGAAATAAATGTGGTAGGAAGTGAAAAGTGGTCCATGTTATGGGCAGAACGAGAAGAGGCAGGCGGCCCGGAGTGGTGTCAAGGCCTCAAGTTCACACACCTTCACCTCGTTTTCCCAGGGCGATGCTGGTAAGTTCTTTTGAAGTGAGAACAGGGTGGGGAGTTAATTATATTTAGATAGTAAGATAAAATGATTTAACAGAAGGGCTCTCTTCATATTTTTCGGTCACGATGACAGCTTTAGAATCTGATGATTTGTAGAATAGGTTATACACGGATATTTAATAGAAATAGATTGAAGAGAAGTGATGCCTAACTTGATTAAACCTAACACATCAACTAAAACGACTAGTTTACATTCTAGTCAGTACTTATCATCAAGATTTTTCTGAGTAGTATCTGAACTAATATTAGGTCTCATTTAACCAGTTTCTTGCTCCTGAATAGTATCTTTTTAATTTCACTGTTTTACTGTTTGTCCTCTCGGTCAATCATCAATCACTTTTGTTATTACAAGTTCACTGGAGAGTGTATTCCATTGACATATAACTCCGCAACTTTTGTTGCAAACTTCATGTCTTTAATTTTGTACCATTCTTCAGCCAAACTTAAAACTTAATAAACTAATTTGGTCCTTTCAGATTTTCTTCACATGGTTTATTTCATCTTGAAAGTACAAGTTTTATTGTCACTCACTGCACTTACTCTCCAGTTTGTCTTTTCACTTATGTAGTTATGACAACAAACATAAGAACATAAGAACATAAGAAAGGAGGAACACTGCAGCAGGCCTGTTGGCCCATACTAGGCAGGTCCTTTACAATTCATCCCACTAACAAAACATTTGCCCAACCCAATTTTCAATGCCACCCAAGAAATAAGCTCTAATGTGAAAGTCCCACTCAAATCCAACCCCTCCCACTCATGTACTTATCCAACCTAAATTTGAATACTACCCAAAGTCCCAGCCTCAATAACCCAACTAGGTAGACTGTTTCCACTCATCACCTACCCATTCCAAACCAATACTTTCCATATGTCCTTTCTAAATCCTAAACTTATCTAATTTAAATCCATTACTGCGGGTTCTCTCTTGGAGAGACATCTCACGACCTATTAAAATCCTCTTTATAAATACCTACTTCCCACTTATACACTTCACATCAGGTTCTCCCCTCATTCTTCGTCTAACAGTGAATTTACTAAGAGTCCTTCAATCTTCTTTCATAAGGAAAATCTAATGGCTATGTATTAATTTAGTCTCCTACGCTGAATGTTTTCTAACGAAATTTATGTCCATTTTGTAATACGAGACAAATACTAGCGGCATAATCTAGGTGAGGGGCCTTACTAATGATTATAAAGCTGCAGTATGACCTTCTGGACTTCTGTTGCTTACACTTCTTGATATAAATCCCAGTAATCTATTTGCCTTATTACGTACGCTTAGGCATTGCTGTCTTGGTTTAAGGTTGCTGCTCACCATAACCCCCAAGTCCTTTTCGCAATCTGTATGGCTAAGTTCTACATCATTTAACTTGATAAATTAGACATATGTGCAACTCTTGGGTATCTTTATTGAGGAAACGTTTCGCCACACAGTGGCTTCATCAGTCCATACAAAGGAGAATCTTGAAGAACAGGAGGAGAATGAGATAATCAGTCCCTCAACCTTGAGTCGATGTGGTCAGTCCATCAATCTTGAATAGAATACGCCATACGTGCTGAGAAGGAGCTTATAAACCGTTGGCAGGAGAGGTGCAGAAGTCATAGGTCGTGTAACATTTGTTCAATGTCGAAGTAGGTCGTGCCCAAGAGTTGCACATATGTCTAATTTATCAACATGTCGGTTCTCTGAACCATTCATCTACAAACCTGTCAGACACTGCAACTTCTTGGGATCTTAATACTTGGGAATTCTTCGCTTGCCTAATTCTTGGGCACGACCTACTTCAACATTGAAAAATGTTACACGACCTATGACTTCTGCACCTCTCCTGCCAACGGTTTATAAGCTCCTTCTCAGCACGTATGCCGTATTCTATTCAAGATTGATGGACTGACCACATCGACTCAAGGTTGAGGGACTGATTACCTCATTCTCCTCCTGTTCTTCAAGATTCTCCTTTGTATGGATTGATGAAGCCACTGTGTGGCGAAACGTTTCCTCAATAAAGATACCCAAGAGTTGCACATATGTCTAATTTATCAACATGTCGGTTCTCTGAACCATTCATCTACAAATCATTTAACTTATAAGTACTAGGGTTATGGGCACTCCCAAGCTTCAGAACCTTGCATTTATCTACATTGAACTGCATCTGCCACTTTTCTGACCAAGAATAGAGTTTGTTTAAATCCTCCTGAAGTTCCATAACATCTACGTTTGAATCAATTATCCTACCTATCTTTGTGTCATCGGCGAATTTGCTCATATCACTAGTAATTCCCTCATCAAGATCATTGATATATATTATAAACAAACAAGGGGCCCAAGACTGATCCTGTGGAACGCCACTTGTTACAGATCCCCACTCGGATTTAACCCCATTTATGGAAACTCTGCTTCCTGCAGTGACCCATGACTCGATCCACGAACCCACTTTTCCCCCAATGCCATGAGCTGCCACTTTTTTTAAACAGTCTATGGTGCGGAACTCTATCAAAAACCTTCCCTAAAACTAAGTAATTAATATCAAATTCTTTATTGTGGTCAACAGCCTCAAAAGCTTATAAAAGAAAGTTAATAAATTAGTTAGACAAGACCGGCCTCTTGTGAATCCATGCTGAGTATCATTAATCAAGCTATGCTTATCGAGATGGTTTTCTTATAATCTCAGCTATAATTGACTCTAGTAATTTGCCTACAATTGAGGTCAGGCTTATTGGGCGGTAATTTGACGGTAACGACTTGTCCCCGTTTTTAAAAATAGGAGTTACATTACCCATCTTCCACATATCAGACACTACACCTGTTTAAAAGAGAAAAATTAAAATATTAGTTAATGGTTCACAGAGTTCCATTTTGCATTCCTTAAGAACCCTTTGAAAAAACCTCATCAGGACCCGGCGACTTATTTTGCTTCAGTCTGTCTTTTCTGCTTCACAACCATCTCATAGTGACTGTGATGTTACATAATTTATCTTCTTCTAGCCCACTGTAAAAAATTAATTACTGGAATATTGTTAGTGTCTTCCTGTGTAAAAACGGGAGAGAAAATAATTATTTAAAATCAAGCACATTCATTCTCTTTGTCAGTAAGGTGCCCATAGTTTTTTTTTAAGGGACCTATCTTATCTCTAACTTTTATTCTATAGACCTGGAAAAACTTTTTGGGTTATTTTTAAAATTCCCTAGCAACTTTTTTTCATAGTCCCTTTTAGCTTTTTCTTTTTCCCCTTTTTAATGTCCCTCTTATTGTCAATATACTGATTCATAAGATGACCCTCACCTCTTTTGATACGCCTATAAAATTCCTTTCTTATGCCCTAGTAGATATTTGAGCCTATTATTTCATCCATTTTTGGGTCATTTCTATTTGATCTAATTTCTTTATATGGGATAAACGCTCTTTGAGCAGCATGTATAGTGTTCAAAAAAACTGTCATTTTTGATAGCTCTCTTCGTTACCCCAGTTAACAGATGATAAGTGTTCTCAAAAGCCCATCGTAATCTGCTAAGCGAAAATCTGGGACTGTTACTGAGTTTATCGCTACTATCGTACTTCCATTCAATGCTAAATGTAATTGATTTGTGGTCGCTAGCACCCAGTTCCTCTGAAATTTCT